CTTACAATTTTGTTTCTTGGCTGTGTTTGTTTGAGCCGCTGGAGAATTACCTTGCTTTTTTAAAAGCTCTGCTATGTATTTAAAGGGATGCTTGTTATATTTTATTTTGCGTTGCTGGGTGTTTTGTGGTGGCAGAATTTTCAGAGTATTTAGTCTGGAATCTTGTAGGAAAAGGAAATCCTTTAACCTTTAAGACACAATTCAGCTTCTTCAGGAAACTTCCCCAACTTCTCAGGTGGGGTTAGGTGCCCCTTTTTCTACTACTGGGCAGAGCATACTATATGTACTTACCTGTCTCTTCCACTAAGACGGTGAACTTCTTGCAGGCAAGTACTATGTCTTTTACCCAGTGCCTATCACAGTATCTTGCATATAGTGTATGCTCAATAAATGTTCATGAAATGAGAGAATGAAAGTATTACTTTCATCTTTACTCATTCGTTTATTCTTTAATTTCTTGACCTACCTTTTTTCTTTTACCTGAATTAAAAAAAAAATCTCCATGTAATTCCTATAGTGTAAAGTATAACATCAGTATTGTAATGCAATAAGGGACTAAACAATGAACAGGAGACTCAGTTTACAGTTAACTAAGTGCTAAATGACTACTATATTCAGTTTGATTTCTAGATTCTTTTTCTTCTATACGTGCACACAGCAAATTGGTCTCTCTTGAATTTATACAGATTATTTCTCTCCCCACATGTATTCTGCACTAATCTTTGTTTACTTTATTTTGATCATGTCTCCATTTTATTAATTATTTGTTTAAAGACTTAGTTTTCTTCTATCTCCAGATTGGGTACCCTATCAAACATAAGAAATATATTTAATTTTACCAAATGAAGTATTAATGAAAATATTAAATATTTTGTTCAGAACTGATATGCAGGAAACTTTATTTTATCCCTTTAACATTAAGCCACTGATAACACTACTGTTTCCTGTGCATAAAACTCTATAGCCAAGTTGATTTTTTTCCTACTGTTAAAAGCAGTTTATCAAATTGAATTAAGAGCCATATTTCTATCATATTTACAGCTAACATCATATTCAATGGTGAAAAACTGAGAGCTTTTCCTCTAAGATTTGGAATAAGACAAAGAGGTCCATGTTCACCATTTTATTCAACATAGTACTAGAAGTCCTAGCTGCAGCAATTGGACAAGAGAAATAAAAAGCATCCAATCTGGTAAGGAAAAAATGAAACTGTCACTATTTGCAGATGATACAACACTATATAGAGAAAAACATAAAGACTCTACCAAAAACTATTAGAACTGATAAATGAATTCAGTAAAATTGCAGGATACAAAATTAATATACATAAATCTGTTGCATTTCTATACACTAATAATAAAGCAGCACAAAGAGAAATTAAGAAAGCAATCCCATTAATAATTGTACCAAAAGGATAAAATACCTAGGAATAAACTTAACCAAGGAGGTGAAAGATCTATACTCTGAAAACCATAAAACACTGATGAAAGAAATTGAGGACAACACAAACAAATCAAAAGATATTCCATGTTCATGGACTGGAAGAACCAATATTGTTAAAATGTCTATACTACTCAAAGCAATCTACAGATTCAATGCAATCCTTATCAAAATACTAACAGCATTTTTTTTTTAAAGAATGAGAACAAATAATCCTAAAATTTGTATGGAACTACAAAAAAGCCTGAAGAGCCAAAGCAATCTTGAGAAAGAAGAACAAAGCTGAAGTCATAATCCCAGATTTCAAGATATACTACAAAGCTATAGTAACCAAAACAGTATGGGACTGGCACAAAAACAGACACATAGATCAGAGGAACAGAATAGAGAGCCCAGACATAAACTCATGCTTATATGGTCAATTAATCTATGACAAAGAAGGCAAGAATATACAATAGTCTTTGATAAATGGTGCTGGGAAAACTGGACAGCTACATGCAAACGAATGAAACTGGACCACTTTCTTACACCATAAATAAAAATAAACAAAATGGGCTAAACAACTAAATGTGAGACCTGAAAGCATAAAACTCCCAGAGGAAAACACAGGCAGTAATTTCTCTGACATCAGCCTTAGCAATATTTCTCTAGATAGGTCTCCTGAGGCAAGGGAAACAAAGGCAAAAACAAACTACTGGGACTACATCAAAATAAAAAGCTTCTACACAGGAAAGGAAACCATCTACAAAATAAAGTGGCAACCTACTGAATAGGAGAAGATATTTGCAAATGATATATCCAACAAGGGATTGATATCTGAAAAACAAAAGATTTATGGAATGAATACGACAGGAATAAAAGGTACAGTATAGGGAATATAGTCAATGACATTGTTATATCATTGTAGGTGACAGACAGATGGCAGCTACACTTGTGGTAAGCATAGAATAACATATAGAGAAGTTGAATCACTATCTTGTACACCTGAAACTAATGTAACATTGTGTGTCAACTGTACTCAAAAACAAAAAACCCCCAACCCTTTGTTGGAAAATGTTGGAAAATAAAATAGTTTTTTTTTTTTTTAAAGAACTTATACAACTCAATCCCCTGAAAACAAATAATCCAATTAAAATGAACAGAGGACCTTTGGAAAAGACATACAGATGGCCAACAGACACATGAAAAAGATGCTCAACATCACTGATCATCAGGAAAATGCAAATCAAAAACCACAATAATGGGTGTCTGGGTGGCTCAGTAGGTTAAATGTCCAACTCTTGATTCTGGCTCAGGTCATGATCTCAGGGTTGTGAGATCAAGCCCCATATCGGGTTCTGCACTCAGCACAGAGTCTGCTTTTCTCCCTCTCCCTCTGCCCCTGCTCATAATCTCTCTCTCTCTCTCTCTAAAAAATATAAAACAAAAAATAAAAATAAATTTAAAAAAATTTTTAAACCCCACCATAAGATATCACCTTACACCTGTCAGAATGGCTAGCATAAAAAAGACAAGAAATAACAAGTGTTGACAAAGATGTGGAGAAAAAGGAACCCTCATGCACTGTTGGTGGGAATGTAAATTGGTGTGGCCACTGTGGAAAACAATATGGAGGTTCCTCAAAAAATTAAAAATAGAAATACCATATGATCCAGTAATACCACTACTAGGTATTTACCCAAAGAAAATGAAAACACTAGTTTGAAAAGATATATGCACCCCGGTGTTTTTGCAACATTATTTATAGAAGCCAAGATAGGGAAGCAACTCATGTGTCCACTGACAGATGAATGAATAAAGAAGATACAGTATATACATACATACATACATGCATACATACATACTAGGGAATATTACTCAGCCATACAAAGAATGAGATCTTGCCATTTGTGACAACATGGATGGACCTAGAGGGTATTATGCTAAGTGAAATAAATCAAAGAAAGACAGATACAATATGATTTCACTTATATGTGGAATCTAAAAAACAAAACAAACAAGCAAGCAAAGAAACAAACAAAAAACCAGACTCTTAAATACAGAGAACTGATGGTTGTCAGAAGGGAGATGGGTGGGGAACATGTGAAATAGATAAGGAAGATTAAGGGGTATAAACTTCCAGTTATAAAAAAAATACATCATGGAGATGAAAAGTACAGCATAGGGAATGCAATAAAAAAAAGATGTAAATTTACAGGCACAGAAATAACATGCTTCCTAGATGTTCTCTGTGAGCAGAAAATTCTGAGTATTACTGGATTTCTATTTTTGTGACCATAGTGATATTGATACTCTAATTCAATTCAGACTCAATCTATCATCTCTACCAATATTAGTTCTAAAGATACTGTAGTAAGGCAGCACGAACCATTAAAATCATAATAACAGAGCTACATAGAGGGGATGGATTTTCCCACGTGGCTAATGAGAGATTTTGTTCTTACCCAGTAATTTGATATTTAAAATATGAATTTTATTTCATAAGTGAATGCATGATAAGGGAGGCACACAAGAAAATTAACTGTGAAAAATTAGAAGTAGTGATAAAAATTATGAATTAGTAATTTAATTTGGGGTAATTTTTATATTATTTCTAAGCCTGGAATGTACTGCCTCTCCTTATGAGATCTGTGACTCTGTAACAGAATATGATTAAAAGTAAGCTCACAATTTAGAATTTTGAAAATGTATTTTATGATTATTTTTCTAAGAATTTTTCTAGATACATGAATTAAACCTTCACTTGAAGGTTATAGGCATACTCTTTTCTTCCTTGGGGGGAAAAAAGTAGGTACAATAATACTTCATGTAACTGGTATCTTTACAGAGTGTAAAACCTGTCAGGAGGTTTTTCAAATAATTGGAATATTACCCTTTGAGCATACAAACATTAAAACCACCACCCCTAGAAGAGAGGAAAAAATAAAACAAGATGAAATCAGAGAGGGAGAAAAACCATGAGAGACTTTTAACCATAGGAAACAAACTGAGGGCTGCTGTAGGGGAGGGGGTAGGGGGATGGGGTAACTGGGTTATGGGCACTGGGGAGGACATGTGATGCAATGAGCACTGGGTGTTATGTAAGACTGATGAATCACAGACCTGTACCTCTGAAACCAATAATATATGTTAGTTAATTGAATTTAAAAAAAATAAAATAAATAAAAATAAAAACACCACCCCTATAAACCTTCTAAAATATCTTACTTCTCCTTATCACTTTGCACGGAGAACATGGAAGTAAGTTAACCTTCTCTTGAATCAGAGTTATCATTATAAATGGATGATGGCCCTTGATGTCTGGCAGCAAGTAAACATCTGGGAATACGAGTAAACAAAAACATCCTGTTTTTTAAGAAACTTAAGCATAGTCAATACATAATATGAGTTTCAGGTGTACAGAATAGTGATTCGATATTTATATACATTATGAATGTTTATCACAAATGAAGTACAGTCACCACACAATGCTATTACAATATAATTGACTATTCTTCATGCTGCAATTTTCATCCCTGTGACTTATTTATTTTAAAACCAGAAGTCTGGACCCAGGCCAGGAGGAGTGTGGGTGGTTGCGGTGTTCTCCGTACTGCAGTCTGTGAAACAACAGTGCGGCCATGGCAGAACCACAGCCCGCATCCAGCGGCCTCACCGACGAGGCTGCCCTCGGTTGCTGCTCCGACCTGGATCCCAGCACTAAGGATTTTCTGTTGCAGCAGACCATGCTACGAATTAAGGATCCTAAGAAGTCATTGGATTTTTATACTAGAGTTCTTGGAATGACGCTACTCCAAAAATTAGATTTTCCCACTATGAAATTCTCACTGTATTTCTTGGCTTATGAGGAAAAAAATGACATCCCAAAAGATAAAGATGAAAAAGTAGCATGGGTATTCCCCAGAAAGCTACCCTTGAACTGACACACAATTGGGGCATGGAAGATGATGAGACCCAGAGTTACCACAGTGGCAACTCAGACCCTCGAGGATTTGGTCACATTGGAATCGCTGTTCCTGATGTACATGGTGCTTGTAAAAGATCTGAAGAGCTGGGAGTCAAATTTGTGAAGAAACCTGACGATGGTAAAACGAAAGGCCTGGCATTTATCCAAGATCCCGATGGCTACTGGATTGAAATTCTGAATCCTAACAAAATGACAACTATTATTTAGTTCTGTGAGAATACTGCTTTGCGACTTCAGTGAAGACCTTGTGGGAGGTAAAAAAGGAAATGGTATGATTCAGGACATTCAGATAACAGAAACATCTAGGACTGAAGAATCACTGTCCCAATTTAAGATTATTCTGAAGTCCATTCCCCTTTCCTATTTCAGCTATGTTTTTCACCTAACTGTTCAGTCATTGTGATTTTAAAGTAGTGCTTTGTCTTATGTCCTTGAATTTAGTTAAAAAACTTTACTTTTTAAGGTAATAATTAGAACAGTTCCCTTCAGAGGCTGCATCTGCCTTCTTTCTCCTAAATATGATTTCCCTACAAGTCTGCCTTTGAATCATCATTCTCAAAAAAAAAAAAATTAAAAAATAAAACCAGAAGTCTGTACCTCTTAATCCCCTTTACCTAGTTCACTCATTCTCCCCAACCTCTCTCCCCTCTGGCAACCATCAGCTTGTTCTCTGTATCTATACATCTGTTTGTTTTATTTCTTTACTTGTGTTTTTAGATTCCACACATGAGTGAAATCATATGGTATTTATCTTTCTCTGTCTGACTTATTTCACGTAGTGTAATGTCCTCTAGGTCCATCCCTGTTGTTGCATTTGGCAGGATTTCCTTCTTTCTCATGGGTGAATAATATTCCACTACACATATATACCACATCTTCTTTATCTATGTATGTATCGATGGACACTTAAGTTGTTTCCCTATCACAGCTATTGTAAATAATGCTGCAGTAAACAAAGGGGTGCACACTATCTTTTCAAATTAGTGAAAAAACATCATTTATTATACATGCTATAATATAAATGATGCCTTCATAGGACATGAAGATATAGAAAGTTATTTGTCTTCCATTAAATGACCCCAGACTACGTTTGCTTTTCGTTGATTTTTACTTTACTTTAGTTTTTTTTTTTTTACAGCTTTTTCTTGTCACAAGATCATCAAATATTCTTTATTACTGACAACGTGCCTAAACTCTTAACATTGTCTACTTCTGCTGAGGGCTGGTAATCAGATCAGTAAGTTCTTCAAGTGGTGTCTAAAATTACGAAACAGTCTGAGTGATGGACTGGGATGGTCTTACAACATGATCTGTAGTAAGCTTTGTCACAGATCTCTTTATTTTACCTTGAGTGCTGGGCTTCATTCTCTTGGTCAGTGATTTTCACTGTAGGTGTATTTTTTACACTCTGGAAAGTTTGTTCGCAGGGAATCTGGAGCGGCAAGTAATTGAGGCAAACAGAAAGCTCTGGCTGAGAAGGGGACCAACTTGGAGCCCCTGAACACTTGGCACCCATTGCCAGCACTGTCACCAGAAGGCGCCCCCACGTGTGGGGCTTGAAAGTCACTTCCTAGAGACCTGAGGATGATGGGTTAACGAGCCTCTGAAGAAGTCGGATGTCACTGTTTCACTTGCTTTCTTTCTGTCTTTGGACACTTGTCTAATCCTCCACAAAATCGTGGAATGTGACAAGAAAATGACTGAGAGGAGAGCAATCAAAGGCAGAGTGTACCGATTACTCATCCCTCTTAAGGCAAACGTGAGGACTCACATCTATGCAAATGTTCTCGAGAACATGTCTGTTTTCGGAACTGAAGCTGAGATGACTGCACTAACTTCAGAATGTTAGGGAAAGTGCTAGAGAGAGGGACTGGAGTAAGAGAGGCACAGTGTGAGTGAGTGGCTGAAACTAGGGAATGGATAATGTATCTGCCGCGTCCACAAGATGGTCCTCTTAGGTCCACCTAAGATTCAGACTCCTAAAGCTACCGCTGAGCACACTTGGCATCAGTTTATTCAGGACTGCAGACAGAAACCATTCAGAACTTGCCAGCAGGGCAGTTGTCAGCTGGAGGCCTCGCAGTAATTCATGTGACAGCTTGCCTAGCCATCCAGGAGTTATCTTTTCTCTAGGAGATGCAGCTCAGGTGAGACGAGAAGAAATCCATACAAGTGGATGTGGAGTCTAACCAGACTTAGAAGCCCTGCTGTTTTATAGGAGGCACTGTATCTTGTAACAACAGCTTCTAGGGTCCCACAATGGATACACCAATTACATGAAACTCAGGACAGTCCAAAGTGCAGTGTCCCCATCAAATATTTATCACTCCTTTGCAGTTCCTCCCAGCCCAGATGTAATTTACCAGTCAGAAGGTCATTTTTATATGTGATGTTGCCTAGCAATAGAACGTGACATCTTTCACCTCATCAGGTTCCTTAGGGAACTTAGACATTTTTACCTGAGGCCAGCTTTTCATCCAGCAGGGGAAACTGTAGTAAACATCACCATATGGTACTAAATATAGCCAGAGTTCCCTTCGAGAAGTTTAATTTGAAATACTTTTTGGATCTCAAAGGACTTGGTCAACTCTTACTATGTCACTTCGACCATGAGAACTTCTTTCAGGGCATGTGTTCTCCCTTCCTATTTTTATTTTCTTTTTGCCTAAATTCTTTGAATACCTAGGTGGATTGGGCTACAATTTTACTATATCTGGTGTTTAAATCAGGAGCATCTGACAGGATAATACTAAATAATGCTAAAACAATACTAGTAATGCTAAAGCATATCTGAAAGAACAAATGCATGAGCATACTTAAGAAAATGGGGGCCTGGCAACTCTACTTCTGGAAATTTATCCCGAGAAACATGGTCCCATCCACAAGTGTTCATGTTAATAAACGACATGTCGTTTGGGTCTACTGTTTATCTAGCTTCTCAAGCCAGAAATGTGAGGTCCATCCTTGCCTTCTCTTTTCCTTATCTTTATATATCTAATCAATCAGCAACTCCTTCTGGTTCTACTTCCAAAATACACATCTTCATTTCTCTTCATCCCCATGGCCTACCCACCCCCCATCATATGTTAAAGTCCCAGTTCCCAGTGCCCCAGACTGTGCTCTTATTCAAAAAAAGGCTGGAGTTATGCATCTATACACCAAGGAATGCCAAGGATTGCTGGCAAACACTAGAAGCTTGAAGAGGCAAGGAAGGATTCTCCCCTATAGGCTGCAGAAGAAGAATGGCCCTACTAACAATAAATTCCTATTTTTTTAAGCCACCTAGTTTGTAGCACTTTGTTATGGCAATTCTAGCACACCAATGCTCCACTTCAGTCCAGGCCTCCATCACTTTTTACTGGGACTAATGCAGTGCCTTCAGATTTGTGCTCCTGCCTCCTCCCACTGCTGACCCACTGCGGTCTATTCCTCACACAGCAGAGAGAGTGACCTTTTCAAAAGTTAAATTAGCTCTCATCACCACCTTGGTTTAATATCCTTCAGTAGTTTTCTATTGCTCTTAGAATAAAGTAAAAAACTCGGTTACCATGACCTATTTCTTAAACTTTCTGGTCTCAACGATGGACTCTGAAAAACAAACTGAGGGTTCTAGAGGGGAGGTGGGGGTGGGGGGATGGGTTAGCCTGGTGATGGGTATTAAAGAGGGCACGTTCTGCGTGGAGCACTGGGTGTTATGCACAAACAATGAATCATGGAACACTACATCAAGAACTAATGATGTAATGTATGGTGATTAACATAACAATAAAAAAATTTAAAAAAAATTTTCTGGTCTCAAGGCCCTTGTATAGTAAGCCTTCAAAATTACTGAGGACTTTAAAGACTTTTTGGTTTATGTGGTTTAAATCTGTCAATATTTACCATATTAGAAATTAACACTGAGAAATTTAAAAATCATTACCTTTTACTAGAAGTAACTAAATTTTTTATTTTTATTTTATTTATTTTTAATTTTTAGAGAGAGAATACGAGCAGGTGGGGGGAGGTGCAGAGGGAGAGAGAGACTCTCAAGACCCTGAGATCATGGCCTGGGCTGAAATTGGGAGTTGGACGCTTAACTGACTGAGCCACCTGGGTGCCCCAGAAGTAACTTAATTTTTTAAGTGAAAATATATTTTCTGAAAAAGAAGAAAACATAGTGAGAAGAGTGAGAGTGTTTTACATTTTTGCAAGTCTCCTTAATGCCTGGCTAAATAGAAAATAACTGGACATTCATATCTCATTCAGCATTCAGTCTACAATGATACCATGTCACGGGGCCTCTGGAAAATGCCACTGCATGCTCATGAGTGAGTGACTGTAAAAAAGGTCAAATACTGTCTTACCGTTGTTATGAATATAGTTTTGAAAAGGTCAGGGCTCCCAGGGGTTCCCATTCCCTACTCTGAGAACCCCTGGGCCTAGGAAACCCTGCATAATTTAGTCCTGCCTAACTTTCTAATCTGACCTCATAAATGCCGTTCTTCCCGCTCTCCACGTGGCTGGATCCTTCCTCATCCTTCAAGTCCCAGCCTCTCTTTCATCCACGTAGAGAAAGTCTTCCTTCACTACTGGTGTAATTCTTCAGTTCAATTCCCTGGTTGTTTCTTTCATAGCACTTATTACAATTTATAGTTTAAAAACACATTTATCTGTCTCTTCCCTGGATTATGAGCTCTATAGGGATAGGACCCCTGTCTGACTTTCTGACTTATGTCCTAGTACCTAGGACAGAATCTGGCACACAGTAAGGACGCAAACACTTTACTGAGTGAATGAATAAATCAATCATGGATCTGTACAAATATTTATGGATGTTGCCAAGGATGATGCTGCTTACATTCATTCATTAACAGATATTTACTGAGAACCTATTAAGTGCCAGGCACTGTTCTAAATGCAGGAAATAAAAACAGACAAAAATCTCCATCCTAGTTTTGGAAGAGGGGATAGAGAAAATAAACTAAGGAAGGAAAATACACAATATGTTAGATGATAATACAGGATGTAGAGAAAAATAAAGCAGGAAAAGATAGGGGATGCTGAAGGCAGGGTAGAATGGATTTCAATTTAAAATAAGGTCTTACTGGAAAACACAGGCCTTACTGGAAAAATTATGGGGGGTGGTGGTGAAAAACGTGAAAATGGTGAAAGAACAAGCTGTATCAATATCTGGGGGGGAAGCAATAGAGGGAGCAAGATGAGCA